GCAAGCATCCTTGATTTTCTTCTGCCATCTATGCATGCAGCTCAGGGTCAGGCAAGGGGTGGGAAAGGAAGAACTTGGGCTGCTGGCCTTGGCAGCCTGTCTGAGCAGGGAAGGGTCAAGTCACCTTCTGCAGTCCCCTCCTCCCCCAGTACTGTGGGCAATACTGTCTGCATATAGAGTAGGCTAGGGTTCTAGTTCCCTCAATAGGGTTATTGCATGCCTAAGGATGTTGGCTGGTGCTCAGAGGCCTCATCTCTGTCCCTTTTCCCGTTGTGTGGTCAGCTTGGGCAAGCCAGGAACCAGTCCAGTCATCACCTACTAGGTATCAAGACAGGGTCAGACTGATGCAGAGCCCTGCATTTATTTTATCTGCTTTCTGGGAGCCTCTGATCAGATGGTAGGGATCCTCCCTATTCTTTGAATTTTCCTAGGAGGACATGAATATTATCTCTTTATCTCAGATAAGGCATTGATGGGAACCAAAGAAACATCACCCATGTTGCCTAGTGAACCAGTGAGTTTACTAGGGTTACTCACAGAAGTGGAGGTGATTCAAAAGCCCACCTCAGCATGGGCCACAACTCACTAATACTGCATCTCTGGAGCTCAACTTACAGGCAGCTGCTGGTTAGAGAGTCCTCTCCCCAGTTATTAAGTTTGTATAACCTTTGGGAGGGGTCTTGTGAGTCCTGTAAATTTCAGGAGTCTCCTGAGGCTAGTGAGTTTTGTTTATTTCTGAGTCTTGTAAGTTTCCTGTCCGTCTCAAATATTCCAGAGCTCCCTCCAAGAAGGGATGTTTTAATTTGGAGGAAAACAGTTGTGCAGCACTTCCATCCAGTACTTGCCATCCATAGATGAGAGACATTTCAAAACTATGAGGAAGGCCCTATGCTGATACTGTGCTGCATCTGGGGGCGGACGGTGTGTGTGTGTGTGTGTGTGTGTGTGTGTGTGTGTGTGTGTGTGTGTGTGTGTGTGTGTGGACTGCGGGGGTGGGGTGGGGGGTGGAGACAACATCTGGACGCTGAGACAAGAGGGTTCTTTGAAGGAACTGGTGTCTGAGCTGTGGTGGTATAAACAAGGGGTGACATTCACCTGGATATTTAACTTTGTAACAGCCTAGCCAGGTGTTCCCCTTTTGATGTTGAGGAAACCAAGGCTTGGGTGCAAAGTGATTGAGAACCAGAATTGTTTCTATTCACTTGCCATTTTCTACCTTCCTTATTCAACTGCTCCCCTCAGGTGACAGCCACCTCCCCCTGTCTTCCTCACACCTTCCTGAGCCCTTAGGAGTTTCCTATTGGTAATAGCCCCTCCTTCAGCAGACCTGTTCAGAGTATCCCTCCTCCATGAGAGTGTGTCTAAGGTCTGTCGTGTGTCCACAGCCACCCTGAGCCACCGAGGCAGTGTCCATCTTGAGTGGCTAAACAGAGTCTGTATGACCAGGTCTTGGGCATTTTGGAAGTTTGATGGGCTCAGGTTCCAATCTGCTTACTCCTCTCAAAAGATCGGGGCTGGAGTCTCACCCTCCAGACCCCTCACTGGTTTCCTGCTCGTGGTCTGTTGTCCATCTCAAGGCACAGTCTCTCTCTCTCTCCACCCAAATGTCTCCTTCATTTCCTTCCCCAGAAGTCTGCTAGCCACAGAGGGGTCAACATGTCCAGGGGAGGTCTCCTTTTTACAGATTTGGCAGCTACCAGCCATCCTTTTAGGGAAGTCCTGTTCTTCCCCAGCCCTCACACTGTAAAAACAGGAGGGAAAGAGTTGAACTTCAGGCTAAATGGATGACCACTCAGGTCCCCTAGGAGACTCCGGTTTCCCCTTTTGAGCCTCAGGATTTCTTGACCTGACCAGCAGCAGCCTGGACGAAAGGCTCCTGGACAGCAGCCCAGGTCCTTCTGGACCTTGTCCTCTGCCAGGGCGGTAATGGCCTGATTTCATCCCCTGGGTCTGTGTCAGTAAGGAGTGGAAGGTAAGAGAACAGAAAGACAGTGGGGTGTCTTTGTTCTGTTCGAACTAAACCGATTTAAAGTTGTAATTGAAAGAGGCAGCACTCCTCATTGCAGTCTATGACAGGTATGTTGAAATGTCCTTTGTGAAATGTTTGCTTTTAAATTATTACCTCAAGAATTAAAATCAGGCAGCTTTGGATTTGTTTCTAAAGTTTAAGTAGTGACGGTCACTTGTTCATTCCACTCCACTTTCTCATGATCATGCTATCAAAAAGCCTTACATGTGTGTTCTTCAAAATGGACTGGAAAGTGAACCATTAAATTCCAGAAGGAAGTGGGGTGAGGAGTGTGGGATGGGGGACGGGATTGGGGGGAGGAGTGGAAAAGGAGAGAGAGGAAGAGAGGGAGAGGAGATGCATCAAATCTGCAAATTTCAGATGCAGAGCTCAATCCATGTCATATGAAAAGTGTTCAAGTCTTCCCCTGTTTCAGGCCTGTCCATGGCTCTACAGGGCTGTCAGGTGGCCTACAGGATCAGGTACCTCCTCCAGGAAGCCCTCACTGACTTCAATATGTCTGGCTAGGTTAGGAATGAGTGCACCATATCTGCTAACCTATGTGCTAACTGCCCTGGCCTGGGTGAGGTGGTAGGTTATCTCTTAGTTGTAATATGTTATGCCCTGGAACACACCTGAGGCTAGGAGAAGGGGATGTGGAGCAGAGGCCAGCAGGTGCTTTCAGTACAAATGAATGATAGGATGCTGGTTTGCTGTGGCTGGCTGACTCACCCACATGGTGCCAGGAGGTTGGTTTGGTCAGTGAGGAAGCACAGATGCCTGCCCCTTCCAGCCATGGCCCACCTTTAACTGCTGCCCTCCCCTGAGCTTTCTGCGTCTTTAACAGTTTTAACAATGTTTGTCCCTAGTTGTGTGGCCTCAGGCAAGACTTCCAGCCTCTCTGATCCAGCGTTTAACGTTTGATGACTCCTTAAGTGCCTGGAGTGGTGGGCGTGACCCAGACTGGTAGATGTTATCACTTGTACTTCTGAGAACGGGAGAGTCAGAGAGGTTAGGTCACCTGGTCAAGGTCACCCAACCCCTTTATGGCCTCTGGTGTCTAAATGATCTCTGGGCCATAGTTAGCTAGTGTGTAAAATGGGGACTATAGCACTGCTGTGGACTTACTAGCAATAATAACCTCTTTCTGCAGTCTGCCTCCAGCCTCAGCTATCATCCTGGACTGGAGGCCAGGGTGGGTTTGCATAACTGTATAACCCTCTCTTGCTCCCCTGGTCATGGAGCTTAGAGCCAGAGTCAGGGAGGTGGAGGGCTCAGGCCAGCTGGGCTCTGTGCAAAAGACAGGGATGGAGGGCCAGAGATTCTGAACCTGGGAAAAGCACTGAGTGCCAGAGAAGGCAGGTCCTGTCTCCTCCAGTCCAGGACTAGGCTTAGTTATTCCTCCCAGGGGATGGATGCCTAGAGGCAGCCTAGAGAAGATACCGAGGAGACACATTCTGTGCTCTCTGAGCTTTAGTGACTCCCGGACAGGTCAGACCACTGTGGTTACTGCTGGAGGAGAGATACAGACAGCCCATCTGAGCACTGTCACTCCAGGCTGTGTGACTCAGCCACCTCTGCTACCCAGTCTCTCATCATTCCCGGGCCATTCCTGCCTTTGAAGCTCCAAAGCCTCACCCTGGGGTCTCTGTGATACCCTGCTTCTCCCTGCCACCAACACCCTAGGGATCTAGAGCTCTGTCCTGTCTTATGACATACTGCCTTCCCAGGAGAGTCTGCCCCTCAGTTTGATCATCTCCTATTTTCCAAATGGCATGGGAAGGCCTGCTTCATGAAAGGCTTCCAAGTGGGAGACCTTGTTGACCTTGGTGGCCAGATGCAGTGCCCCTGAACTTCTGTCCCGTCCACTCTGAACAGGGAATGTTATTCACAGGGGTATAAGAGGAGCATCTTAGTACCTTTCTGTAGTACCTTATCCTGCTGCGATAAAGCATTCTGACAAAATCAACTTTAGGGAGAAAGCGTCCATTTTGTCTCAGTTCCAGCATACTGGCCATTATGGCAGAGAAGTCAGGCAGCAGGTTCAGAAGTCTGCAGGTCACAGCACAGCCAGCCAGTTGGTACAGAGGAATGAATACTTATGTTTAGCCCAATTTCTCCTTTTTATACAGCCCCAGAACTGACAACTGGAATTAGCTATCACAGTGGGAAGTGAGGGCTGTTCAAAGGGGCTTGCAAGTGGAGATTCTGAGGTCCAGGACCTTAGATCTGGGGCGGGACAAATGTACGGTACAATTGGTGTGACACTAGCATTTGGAAGAAATTCATGTGTAAATTCTTCTCTTTGACAAAAGGTACAAACTTGACCCTTTCTTCTAAGAGTCTGTTTCGTATTAACGGGATCTCGACTTTAATCCCATTTTTTAGGGTTGTCCCTTTAGTGTGCATGAAGTGATTAATTTAAACAGACGATCTGTCATAAAATTGCACGATGGAGAATGCGGGCATCGATCCCGCTACCTCTCACATGCTAAGCGAGCGCTCTACCATTTGAGCTAATTCCCCAGCCATGACTAGTTTCCGCCATAAGTCTTGTTGTGATTCACGTCATCACCGGTTTCACCCGCGGCCGTTGCCCCACAGCCTGTTGTCATTGTGCTATCCCATTGGTTCCCTCGCACCTAAAGCTACACAGCCGGGATTGGTTTGGCTCATTTGTTTTAAAATGCATTGACTACGCAGATTGGTGGTCCAAAGCGTCCGTCACGCGAGGCAGTGCTGTTGCTACGGCGTAGAGAGACCTAGCCCAAGCTTCTCCCAATTTCTGACTTTTTTCTCAGACACCGGGGTCCTAGAGGTTCCGGATGCGTCAAGACCATGGGAAAAAGAATGCGCCTCTTGCGCTTGACTGACAAGGGCCGCGAGCCAATCGGAGTGGAGGCCAGGAAGCCGCTGGGAGGGCCAATGGGCCGTGGGGGGCGGGAGAAGCAGGCCAATTATCTTCGGGAAGGGGGCGGAGTCTTGCCCGTGATTGGCTGAGAGGCGGCCAGAGGGAGGGCGGGGGTAACTCAAGGCCTGCTTGATACGTCCGCCATTTTGGGCGCTTCGCTGATGGTGTCGGTAAGCCCTTTTCCCGCCTGAGCGTGACTCGCTGCGGGTCGTGGGCGCCTCCAGGTAACTCGGGGGAGGCGGCGGCGGCGCGGGGTGCGTGGGCCGCGCGGGCGGGCGGCCGACCGACGGGGGCGGTGGTCGGGTCCGGGCGGCGTGGGGAGGGAGCGTCCCGGCCCCTCTCCCCTCCCCCCCGGAATCGGCTGCCTTGGCGGCCCGGGAGGCGGCGTCCAGTCCTGGCCGGGACCGAGTCCCCAGCTCCTGTCAGCCTGACCGCGCGTTGGCAGCCAGCCGAGCCGCCGGCGAACTTTGGACGCCGAAGTGACTCTCCGGGCTTGGCTAGGCGGGAGCCCGGGCGAGGCGAGGAGCACCCTAGCCAAGTCGGGGGTCCGGGACGAGCTCCCAGGCTCCCGCCCCGGGGCCTTGCCAGCGACTTCTCGGGATCTCCCGGAGCTTGTCAACTTGTCGGAGACCTTCGCGAATGCCTTTGTTGGACTCTTGTCCTCGGAGGAACAAGTTTTGTGGGTTTCTGGGCATTAGCCACAGAGTCATCGGAATACACAAAACCCAGTTCCGAGTCTCCCGGGGCCATCGCGGTGAATCCTCAGCCCCCGCCGTTGGATCTCTTATACCCAGACTGGGGCACTTGAGACTCCTTGGTGTTTTGGAGTTGGGGTGAGGGCTTATCTTTGTGGCTTCAAGGACTTCTCTGTTAAAGAAGCTCGGTTCACTGTTAACTGGGAGGTTTTTTTCCTCCCAATCCCGTTGCCTTTTCTTAGAACTTGGACTTGAAGTTGTAGGTGGGACAGAATGAGTGGTCTGATTAGTTGTTTGCCTGGACTTTTCTACTGCACGACCTACTGTCATTTCCCCCTACCTGATGTAGACTCTTGAGGATGGGTCAGAGCTTTGTTTATGTTTTGCTTTCCGGGGCGGGAAGAGGGGCATTTAGACAGGTTTCATCACAGCACTTGTTAATATGGATACTGTTTCACTTTCTTAAGTGAAGTTTACTTTGGTTTTTGTCCTCAAGGTCATGTTGCAGATGAGGCAGCCAGTGAGAAAGGGACTTCAGATTTCCTACCGCTAAAATATGCCTTTAAGTAGCAGGATGCAAGATCCCCGTATCAATGGTGGTTGGACTTTATTTTGGGCCATTTGCCACTTTCTAGCCTTGTGACCTTGGGCAAATTACTCATCTTTGCTGCCCCTGTGACCTGGGAAAACAACTCTGTTTCATAAGTTTGTCCCAGCAGATGTACACGTTAGACCTGTAACTGAGTAAGTTAGCACAAAGCAGCTAAAACCATGCTTGGCACATAGAATCAGTTCAGCAGTGATCATAATTATCAAATTCAACTTGATCTTTTATTTTATTTTTGAGGCAGGGTCTCACTATATAGCCAGAGGTCTTGACTGCTTATACCTCTTGAGTAATGGGATTAAAGTCATGCACCACTACACCTGGCTCATTATTTTTGGGTTTGGCTCATATTTTTTGAGATGATAGGGTCTCCTGTAGCTTAAGATGTTCTTGACCTTTCTATTCAGCTAAGGATGGCCTTAAATTTTTGATCTTCCTGCCTCTACCTCACAAGCACTATGAGTAGAGTTACGTACCACCACACCTAGTTTAAAATTAACTTTTAAATGTTTAGGTACAATTAGGAAAGCCATGTGTTTAAGGATCAGGTGGGCTGGAAAAAAAATGAACTGGAAGTTATTTTAATTTTTCTGTGAGAAGAGAGGTTGAAAATTCATGAAATCACCTACATGTGCTAGAGCGACGAGTCGTGACACTTGAGAGTGTTTTGTCTAAACCAGTACTTATATATAGAAAATACCCCAGGAGCCTAAACAGCACTGTTGCTCTGCTGCTTCTAGGTGCTGCTTCTGTGCGGTTACCCCAAATCAATAACTTGATTTCTTAGGTTTCTTCTCATTGTTACTGCAGTTGGAACTACAGTCTTGATAGCTTCAGCAAAGGTTAAACATACCTGATGTCTAAACATTATGAAACCTGATGGCTTTTCAGCATCAGACTTTCAGATTGTGTAGCAGTTTGTATTAGGGATGTCAGCCTGGTAAAGTCTGCCAACACTCCAAAATCTGAAACTGAAATTGTAGTCCCAACCACTTTGGAGAAGGTGTCCTCAGTATGTAGTCTGGGAGTAGCTGTTGTGTATGGGTGCTTTGGGACCTATTCCGCACTTGACTGTGTTTGGCTAGGGAGTCTAGAAAATTTAACAAAGTGTCTTTCACTCATTCAGTCATACCTGAAATCAGCTTTTTAATGTCTACCTTGTGCCTTCTTCATGGTACTTGTCTTATGGGTGATAGTTGCTTATGACTTGGATTGGCTTATGCACTGGGGAAGAGTGTTTTGATAAACTCAATCTTAAGTAGACTTGAATACACTGATTGCTTTAATAGACTTAAGCTTTTGTGTATTGTATATCAACCCACTCACCAACTGCACTTAATCAAAAAACAACCAGCCATAAACCACATAAACAAAAGGAGCTTTGCTAGTTTGCAGTAATTGAGTGTCTAAGCGTAGTCTATAGTTATTCAGAAAATGGATAGCACTGAAATTCGGACTTCAAGTGAAGTTTGCTTAGCTGCTTTAAGATGAGTCTTGGTCAGTTCCCTATAGAAAAATGTGCTGTTACAAGTAAACATGTCTTCTTTAGAACAGTATTTGTCAGGGGTGCAAGTGCTTTACATTTAGTTTCACCCCATATTTGGTTTTTAAATTTACTCTAGGTGATGGTCTTTCAACTGTTTGTCCTCTCAGGAAGCATTTCTTTTGGCTTATTAACACCTCCAGTGTACTGTAGAGGGTAGAGGTCAAGGCTACTGTTAAACCTCCTGTGGTACACAGATTATCCTAAACCCACCTCCCTTCCCACCCTCCTGCCAGTATTCAACCCTAAATATCAGTGGTGCTGACATCATGATAGACTAACACATATAACAATCGTTTGGGATATTTTAAAACCATGGATGTGGGACTTTACCTCTGGAAATTTGTGGTGGAGTTGAGACTAATTTTTTTTTTTTTTTTTTTTTTTTTGGTTTTTCGAGACAGGGTTTCTCTGTGTAGCTTTGTGCCTTTCCTGGGACTCACTTGGTAGCCCAGGCT